AAGAATAGCCCAGAGCGACTGTCAGGTGTGGGGTTCGAACCCACGCTCCCTCTCGGGAACCAGAGCTTAAATCTGGCGCCTTAGACCACTCGGCCAACCTGACTATTGAAAGAGCTGTTCAAATTTTCAATCCCATTCTAAAAATGTCGGTAAAATACTTTCATTTTAATAACCTTTTTGCAATATCTGATGTGATTTGTTAATTTTAAAGACTTTTTGCACAAATTTACACTATGGCATCAATATTTACGACACAATGATAAAAAAGATGATGAAATATTGCGCAATTTATAGAGCGCAATATTTCATTCAGTTCTATCATGGATTTTTTTGTAAACATAAAAACTACATTTAATTCCTTAAATACACAATATTAACAAATATAATTCCAAAATGTATAAATGTTCATGTGCCTTTCACCTGTTGCGCGTAGTGAGATCAGCGCCACCTACCATATATTTTATGTACCATTGCGATAAGCACTGGATGTTTTGCAACGTTACGTCAAAGTTCCTTATTAAAAATGTAGATGTCGTTAATATACACAATTTTGTATTAGTTTCGTAACGTTAAGTATTGAATTAATTAATAGAAAATTAAAATATGGTAATTTAAACAAATTATACGCACCATTACCATTTTGTGGATGAACAGTGAATAATGGGAAATTACAAATCTTCGACCTCATTTACAAACTGCTTCACAGAAACGAAATTTTGTAATTATACCATTGAGCATTTACGTAGGTATTTTCATGGATGATCTTTAAACTCGCACAAAAAACCATAGCCCAATTTTTGAGTACTGAAATTGTTTAATGATATCTCAGCTATGCATCGTTAGGGTAAGTTCCGATAAGTCGAACACGTTTACTAATTTTAACTGTTTTTAAAAGGGAATTTTGTGGTCTCTCCTTTGCTATTAAGAACGGATATTTGACCATTTCGTCGCCTTACTTTCCCAAACTCGTATCTTAAAACACAAAATTACTGAAATGCAAAAAATGGATTCTATATACCAATTTTGCAGGCTGATTTCATATCACATCTTCATATTTACACACTGGCTTTTAACTATTCTTAAAATAATGCATCCATGTTAACACCCTTGATAAGAAATTTAAAATAAATAGAAATATTTGCCATCTCTTGAATAATCACTCTTTATACGAGTTTGATAAAGTACCCAAGGCATTTGTCACTTACCCGCGTTTTAGTCAGTGGACGGCAGGTTTAAGCAAGTTTACAACATATCGAGTTCTTAGGTTTTCGCGATTGTTACACATAGGAAATGAAACTATTTTTCCGGATTTAAATCGCGTATATTTGTTTTTTCAAACAAAAACAAAAAAGTTTGAAGTTGAAGTTTGACAAACCCCAGGTCCTTGCAAAAGAAGTCCGTTATCTACCCAGGATGCTGCGAGAGGCCATTGAAATTAAAAAACATACTACTTTCAACAGGGAAGATGGCTTCTCCGTACCACCAGTTTGGGATCCAGTATTTCCTCTAATGAAAAATCCCAAACAGACATAAGACTGCAGTACTAATTAATATGTCTCAGTTTATTCTAATTTCTATTAATAATTAATAATAAATTAAACTTAATAAAAATTCATTCAATAAAATAATTTGTAAAACTTAATGTAGCGTAAATTGGAATGTTTTCTTTGTAAAATTAAAAATAGGGTATTTAATTAATAACTATTGTAATTATAGTGAAAAAATAGGGTGGTTTGCATTAATATTAGACATAACTGGTTGAAGACTGTTCCACCTCAGTCAACCGTGACCATGGGACCTGTAAAGGGCCCGAAACGTCGGTTTGTTTGAAAAAACAAATATACGCGATTTAAATCCGGAAAAATAGTTTCATTTCCTAAGTTTACAACATTTAAAATTGTGTAATATTCATTTGTTAGATCCATTCTCGATTTTGGAAGCATGGTTTGGAACCCATTGTACAAATGTAATATCGATCGAATAGAAAGAGTAAAGGAAACAATTCATCTGGATTCTTAATTGTGCTAATTATTTTTAGCACAGTTAAGAATATATCACAATTGACGAAAAGATATCACAATTGGCAAGCTGCAACGGAATCATCATCTTCAACCTTGAAACGGACATCATACAGCATGAAAGAATGAATCCTTTCTATATCGACATGCTAGAGTGGCAAAGGAAAGATTGCAAAGCGCTTTTTTATCAATACATACATATAATAAATTTCTAAAGAACCTGTGTCTGGCTTTTAATAAAAATTTTTAAGTAAAAGTTCTTAGGTGCTAAAGATACCCGCCACCCGTCTGCAATGACACGTCTACACTACTCTACCCAAGTTTGATGTAGAATATTAATAACCAACGAGGTTTAAAGAACATTTTTTGTCTATGTTCATTCTTTATTTAGACTCTGCCCACGGCCTGCTCGCGTAATAGGAAATTAATTAAGTAACTAATTGGGTTATGTAGAAATACCTAACCAATTTTGGCAAATCGCAGGCGTGTCTATTCTCCGATTGCCGATTGTCTCCAGCTACTTGGAATGGACATATCCTCCAACTTCGGCAGATACTTAGAATCCATGGCCAAAAATGCACCCAAGAATCTTGGCATCCTTTCCAGGGTGAGGCGTTACTTCACACCGGAACTGTTGCTTCAGCTGTACCAAGCATAAGTCCGGTCGTGTATGAAGTACTGCTGCCACCTATGGGATGGCTCTGCTACATACCAACTGGCCACCTTGGAGTCAATCGACAAGCGTGCCAAGAGTGGTATAGGTGACTCGGAATCAGTAGAGACAAAAATGCAGAGCCTTGAATATCGCCGCAAAATTGCTTGCTTACCTGTATTCTACAGGATATATCACGGAGAGTGTGCGATGGAATTACACGATTTAAGGCCGCCTTCCCCTTTCCATGACTGGGGGACTAGGCGTAGGCTTGGGCTCCACCCCTGTGTTGTGGATATTCCAAAGATCGCACGAAGCGTTAGGGTTCCACATTTATATGGTGAACGGCCATGGAGTGAAATTCCCTGCCTGATTTTTCCCTGAATACTTGGGCCATTTCAAGGCGAGAGTGAGTAGGCATTATTTAGGTGTGCATGTTCCATCATCGACCTTATCGTCACTTTCCACCAGGTGAGATGGAGGTCAAATGCGCTCTTATATACTTTATACAAAAAAAAACTATTATTGGCAATACTGGAGCCAAAACTTCAAACAATGTACTATAATCCTGAATATTTTCTTGAAGACTTATCGTACCAAAAATTATTTTTGTGCTACCAAATACATAAAAAAAACTATAATATTGTTTTTTTTTACGATTACGATACGACGACGATACAGCCACTGCGCCATCACACTGAGACATAAGTTGACAAGTCCCATGTGCATGTAATTTCACCAGCACCCTTACCCTTCCGAACCGGATCGCAGTAATGCTCACATTACTACTTGGTGGCAGAAATAGGTATGGTGACTGTGGCCGAGTTCTTCAGGAGCTCTACTGTCACATGGTCGCGACTGAATGAGATGGTATTAGTCATCAACCAGTTATGTCTAATTCAAATTATTTTGGGAATAACTTGATTTGCACAAGAGTTACAAAAATTAATACTTTAATTGCACCTTTTCTTTTAACCTTATTTGTAGTTTAACAACGAACATAATTTAATGTATAGAATAAAATATATTAGTGAATTATTTGTTTTTGGACAGTTAATCACTTGAATAATTATGTTTGACATTAATATTTATTGGTGCATAAGATGCTCTGTACAATGTTTATGAACATTTGTGCAAACTGAACAGCAGAAAATAGGGTTCAACGCAAGTAAATGAAGAAAAGCAAAGATATGAAACGGGTTGAGAAAATCCACGATACCTAATAAGAATTGCAGCTAGCTAACATATCGTCATTATACTGCGAAAACCAATTATCTGGAATTTTAACAGAAAATGACTTAATTTAGGATAACGTGACAAAATTGTATATGTAAAAAAAAATGTGGAATCACAGTTACAAATTTACGTAGGATGACCAATAAAAAATATGCCCAAGAAAAAATCGTCGTTGAAATTTCAATTGCATTTATTTCAAGATCGATATTTTGTGAAATAATTGTTTTTCCCAGTATAAGGGCGATATTATTGAGGTGGTACATACAGGGTCTGTGCGGCATTTCATCACTGAGACCTGCAATTGATCTATTGTGATAAATATCAGAGTATTAGAGTGCTAATCAAGTGCTACACAACGACATCAATTACCTAACCTCAAACTAGATATCGATGACTCGGCTCGAAGGACCAAAGACGTTAATGGTCAGGTTCAGGATCAGTGGACTGTATATGTTCTTGATTAGGATATTGCTCTTGTAAGTTCGAAATTAAACACTTGTTCACTGCTTAGAAAACAACTTCGTTTATTGTTTTTTTTTTGTTTTTGTTTTGCCGATGGCCACTGATAGCCTTGACTGCGCCACTGGATATAAGAGCGAGCTGAAGTCTCTTTACTTCAGCTAGAAGGGCGTGCTGTTGGGGAGAATCTACTGTACGTGCTGACGTGGGGGGCTCTACGATCTTACTGACGAGCACGGTTGCCCGATGGAGCAGACTTATTCTTAAATGGCGACCATGTCAAGGAAAACGTAGTGTAGGACGCCCTGCGGCAAGATGGACAGACGACCTGAGAAAGGGGGCCGGCAGCGGCTGGATGCGGGCGGCACAAGACTGGGAGAGTTGGCATTCTTCAGGGAAAGCTTAGACGCATTCTTGGTGTTCCTTTTTTTCCTTTCCCTTATATCTTCCCCTCAATTATAGCTCCAGTGTGAAGTACAGGACCACAACATTTAAAACAACTATTTTCAGTACAAAACATACCTGCATATTAAATAAAAAATACATGAGTCAATGGGTGAATAAATATTTAAATTATTTTTGAATATGCTTATTGTTGTATGTATAATTTGCCATGACGACAATTTATCGTATATATAATCTGCATGAATTTTATTAAGGCTAATCAGAAAAGCTACAAAATGCTGCGGTACTCCAAATTGGTCCTTGTGTTCGGTGCTTTGTTGGTGGTAAGAATTTTATTTTTTTGAATATTATTATTTTTTTATTATTTATTTTCCTTTGCGGTGTACATATTTACTCCAAGGAAAAATTTGTAGTCTGAGAATTGCAATGGTTTCGATATTCGGCATATTTTGACTTTCCAGACTTTATTGGTTTCATATTGTACTTTTCAGAATCCTAATTTATCTCTCATAGTTCGAAGTAAGTTAACGTTACTGTAGAATTTTCTGAACTACTTTTTTGTAGGCCGCCCGTAAAAAAGCGGAACTGTACCTTTATCATGAACTCACAGTCATATATGTTCGACGATTTTCTATAATGGTTAAACCTACGTCAGCTTTAACGTCTTTCCCTTTTTCAGACACTGGCACTGGTGGCAGAAAATGAAGGTAAGTAATTATTTGCACATAAACTTACGTTTTGTAAACTGTTTAGTATTCTCGGCATTTATGTTCCAAAGTTTTGAAACACTTTACCTGTCAATGGCGAAGGACTTTTCTTCAAGTAATCTATTACCCAACGTGGTAGAAGGTATTGAACAAGAAATGTATTGCCTTGCAGCATTTGTTGCTCACGTCCAGTGTCGGCATGCCTTTTTCAACCCACGTAGAATAAAATATAAACAGGGTCTACCTGAGACAATGTAAAATATTAAAAGAAAGAAATTAGTCCAAGATCAACTTCTGTTTTACTGATATACTCAACTACCACCTCAAACAAATGTCGACATTCGAAATAAGTTTTCTGAATAAAGTGTAATGTGTTGGGAATCGAAATTAGTTTTTGCTATTACCCTAACACCTACTGGCCTAAAGTCTCATCAGCAAACGTCAACCATAAGGGAACAAAAGTTTTAAGAATAGAACTGAACACTGTTTTCTGAAGAACCGTAAAACTAAGTACAAGGTATCAAAAAAGCTACTACCATATTTCCTCTGGCGGAACTCACATATGAAAACAAACTCAGAAAAGAATTTCCGTTCCCCTACAATTTTTCGATAGCCTAAACTGTGTACATTTTGTTTAGGGATGCCATTTATTTCGCGAACAGAGAAATATTTTGGCTAAGAGGTACTTTCTATTATAAGCACTCAATCCGCTTAGAAAGTGATAGTTTTGTTACACTTTGTTAAGGCAACAAAAATTTAACAACTTTCTTTTGTTATCATTATCAGTGAGCGCTGCCCCAGCACCGTTTGAAAGTAAGCCGTGTCCTCCTGCGCCATGCGCTCCACCGCCACCTCCGCCACCACCTCCTTCATGCCCTCCTGAACCATGCGACGATGAGAAAAATAAGACAAAGAATAAAAAGGGCAAAGGTGAGTAATTTCGTGGGCAAATTAGATGAGATACGTACAGCGATCTCCAAACCCCTGTCGAGTGCAGCGGTTTCATCAGGCCTATGTCCAAAGGATAAAGTGTGGTGTTGATGATCTAAATATTCACTTTCCGAGTGAGATTCAATACCCCAAATGTTCTGAAATTATTATAACAGCATCGTCACTAAAACTGAAAGTAGATTATTTCCATAATTCATAATTTAGGACTATAAATTTATTTTAATTATTAATACAAAGATCGAACACAAAGAAAATTTCTTTCGATCTAACAGAACTCGAAACTGAGTTGACTTGACTGCCTCCGTGGCCGAACGGTTACCATGCCGGGCTGCCACGCAGAGGTCCCGGGTTCGATTCCCGGGCCGGGAGAAATATTTGCATGGCCTACATTTATTTCTCTCGTGAGTTTGGGTGTTCATTTGTGGTTGTGTATGTAATGTGTCCATGGCACCCGGGACACAGGGTTTCCCTAGTGCGGGGCTATGTTGAGTGTATGCGTTATTATTATTATTAAACTGTGTCTCTTTTACTAATCTGGGGCAAATGCTCTACCAACTGAGCTACAAATCGAGTCAACCGAACTTACAAATGTTTCTACACCATCATTTTGTTCATCATTTATTTGATGAACCATAAACTTAAAATTCTTTAAATTATGAAATAAATAAATGTTTTCAATAAAACGCTGTTGACACATTCGCATAATAATGAAAGGCGCGTGTGGCGACCCGCGCTGCGCATCGCGAGATTGTGCAAATGTGCGCGTCCGTACAGAGTACGCGGCAGGCGCGCACACATACAAGCCACGCTGCTGAGTTTGTATGGAATTATCATACGTGTCCTACTATACTGTGCACTGTATGAGAAGAGAGATCAATAAGATAAAATCTCTGGCTTCTGTAGATTCACTAGGCGCTCTTTGAAGACATTAATTCTTTCTATATCTGCGTGTGTCATACATTGCTGATGTCCTTTCTTTGTTACAGATTGCTAGGACTGCGGGTGAGTCTTATTTTGAGGCACTTATATTTAGAGATTTAAATGTGATTGAGTCTTTTATAAAATATATTTCATTCATTTTATTGTCTATGTAACAGCCACTGCTAAATATAATGAATGTATTTGCATTTACAGGCAAAGGTCCAGGTCGACTAAATAACACGTAACGTCAGGAAGATATGTGTCTATAGACTCGTGTTATTGTAAAATAATAATAAATTGTGTTGTAATAAATATCAATTTATGAAAAAAATTATGTTTTTTTACGTTAAACTTTATTGTTGTGGTTTTTGTGCGTTACCAATATAAATAAATATAATCTCAATACTAAAAAAGCCGATCTCAAAAGTTCCTAGAATTACATCTATTTGCCAATTTTTATTGAAACTGGATTCATAATAAATAAAATTAGCGCTTAAATAAAAAAAATAGTAATAAAAAAGACCCCACAGGTCGACAATTTAAAAA